TAGCTAGCATGTGCATTTAGGATGGAAGAGGGGAAGGAAGAAAGGAAAAAGAAAAAAAGTTTAGAATTTTTTTAAATTTTAAAGAAGATAATTTCTTGTAGAACACAGACCATTTAATGGAGCAGTGGTGAAGTTTGAGATTTTCCAAATGGATGGATCAGTTCCCACTCTCCTTTCAAGACCTTAAATTGGAAGTTGTATTGAAAGTTGATACTGAAAAATGGAAGGATATTGCTTTTAGGCAGAGAGTTATTTTTTGTTTTTCTGAGGCGGTTTCTTTCTGGAAGAATCACACAGAAGCAAGGTGTGTCAGCTGCAAGTTCTGTCACCTGCTCTCTGGTATAAACTGAGCAGTTTTTGAGGATCCCGCCCACCAGCCCCTGAGAACAAGTCATCAGACCTCCACCTGCCAGCAAAGCTCTGTCAGTGGCTTTGTCCCTTGTGTCTTGTTAGTTGCTGGCCGCCTTCTCCAGGGAGGTGCAACTCTCTGTGTTTCCTCTCTTGGGGGGCAGATGATACCCCAGCTTTTCCTTCAGGGAATATTTTTGTTATTGGACTAAATATCAGGACCACCATTTGGCTCCTGACATAATCCCGAAGATTCCACATTTATATTTCATGGGTCCCCACCTCCTTTTCTTCCAGCTGTCCTTCAGTGTCAACTTTTCTTTCTCTTTTGACGCCAGAGTATTCCACATGGGCCAGTATCTTTGGGTTTTCTTCCACCCAGCGATAACTCACCCTTATTTCTTTCTGCTTGGAAAAACCCAAATCATGTTTACTTGTTGCCTTCCTTCGTCCCAGTCTCTCATTACCCGCTTTCTTTAAAACTCTCTGTGATTCTTGAGGGCCCCATGACCGCCATGGAGAAGCTAGAAAGCCCCTGGCCATCTTTCAAAAGACACATCAGGAAATTCTGAACATGTTTTGAAACTCCTACTAATTCTATGGGATTACAGAGGTTTATAAACTGCATTCCACATTTTTCCCTTGGTATTCTCACAGACTTCTGAAATGTCAAAGGGACTGGATTTCTATTTATCCCAATATTAAACATGTATGAAAACGGAGGGCGCAGAATTAAGATGCTCAATCTGGTTTCTCTTAGAAAATCTCCTAGGACTGCATGACTCTTAATGTAGATTTCCATTGCTATTTGGCAGTGGGATACAAATATAATCGTAGCTTTTTATCTGTTTTTTAAAGTTTTGTGAAGCAACAATAGGTCGTATTTATCAGGCACTGAATTTTTGCCACACACAGCATTCAGCCCTTTCTCTGGTTTGGTTCATTTGACCTACATACTGACTGAGAGCTGGGTACCATTATCCACATTTTGTAGATGAGAGACCCTGGAGGAGAGAGCTGTCCTCTTTAAGGATTTGTCCCTGTTTTTGTGGATGATCAACTTCTGCAAGAGAAATTCTGGAGCCAGTTAGGTAAAATAATCAGTTATTATAAAAACCACTTGTTTGATCCTGGTCCGACTACTCTGTGCTGGTTCACCAGCAAAATCTTTAAGACTCACTTCTCTTACCTTTTATCTGTGGTCCCAGCCAGATAGTGGAGAGAGGCAATGACTGGAAGAGATTCTTGTCATCTTTTGAAGCCAGTTGGTGACAAGGAGCCGAGCGGTTTGATGTCCCAAGGACTCCTTGAAGAGAGAAACTTTCATAAAAGTTTTAGAATTGCTCTACTGACCCGGTATTCCGTTCTCCCAACTCCTTCAGTTGGATCTCCTCCTGTTGCCAAAACATCCTACCTTCTATAGCATTCTGCGCTACTTTTATGCACCCTACCTGTGACAGGAACCTCTATGTCCCCTAAAGATAAAGGGAAATCTTAAAGGTCAGAGCACATTCTTCCCATTTGAGTATTGTACGCTCTTCTTGTAGAGGAAGAACATTCTTGGTACCCCTGGTGTTGACTTAAGTTATTTTTATTTAAATTTACTTAATGTGCATGAATGTAAAATTAAACTCCTTTTATTTATGGCTCTGTACAAATCAAAAAACGAAACTCATTTACGAGTTAAATATAACCAAGACTAAAAGAACCCCCCAAAATTCAAATTGGAAACGTTAATTACATGCCACGGCTACTGTTTTGTGAGAACTGAATTTCTTGGAGCTGGTCAGGCCCGTCTTGGGATCACTCAACTCTCCCACCATTTTTCACTCATCCAGTGGCTTTCAAACAGGACTGTGTATCCGAAGCACTGGGAGGGCTTGTGAAAACGCAGATTTTGGGGCCCCATCCCCAGAGTGTCTTGATTCACTAGGTCTGGGTGGGGCCTGAGAATGTGCATTCCCAGCAAGTTCTCAGGTGATATGATGATGCGGTGTGAGGACCACACTCTGGGAACCACCACACTATTCAGATCAAGAGACTTTCTTTTCCACAGATATAAGCACAGAAACGTCATTGACAAATTGAGTTCCCCTCTGCTCCTTTCTCATTAGCCTCTGACAATTAAAGTGACATATTTGGCCAAAGTTGTGTGCCGGTGAACACAAGCGCAAAGCAGGCACTGAAATGGAGTGTGTACGATGGAGGGTGTGCCTGGTTTTATGGTGGGCGTCCAATGCCCCTGGTTAGCTTTTGTAAAATGTTTTAGTGTAACATCAAAAGAAAATCCAAAGTGGAACCGCTGAACCCCTGAGAATGTGTCCATGTCCCTCACTTCCAGAAACACTGCGTGGGTGGGTGGGGTATTATAAAACACTTACCTGCGGAAACAATAATATTGTATAAGTACCAGGCTCCTCAGCTTTAGGTGTAAATGTTAGAACCGAGATTAAGGCACATGGGTGAGCAGGGACAGAATCAACCAGTCTTGTCCCACAGCCAATGGGTAGGAGTCGTAGACTTCATCTTGGTATCCGGAAGGCCCTCCTCGTGCATAGAGTTGCCCTGAATGGAAGGAGCTGCCATAGGGAGGTTGGAAACAGCTAGCCTTCGAGGGGTCTCCAACGACAGCTTGGTGGATGTTCCAGGGGATTTCCATCCATAAAAGCCATGTGTCCAAGATGCCTTTGAATGCAAAAATTCTATGATTTGGGGGCCTTCTTATCAATCTCCAAAAATCCTCCAAAGTGAAGATGTTTAGCTCTACCATATCCAAAAGGCAGCCTTGCCTTGTAGGTCCTCAACCATGTTACCACCCCTAACACTTCTTCCCTCCACCCTCAGACTGGCTCTCCTCTCCCGCTCCTCAATTCTGTCACTGTTACCACTGTTCGTCCAGCTTTCCAAGTTCAACACTTGGCACATCCCCTTCCAATGTCTCTATTGCTTCTCTGCCTTTCTCTTTCCATTGCACACCATCACTCCCACTCAGTGATGCTTTAATAGCCACGTGTGGATTTACTGCCGCAGTCTCTGCTCCCCATTCTGAGCCCCTTTAATCCACTTAATACCAGACGACTACCCCCCCCCCCCCAAATTGTTTGGCATAGACTTTTATTCACGAAACATCTCTTCTCATCCTGGGCACTTCGTTCCACTAAACACACACGGGGAAAAGCTGCTCTAAATGGCCCCACGTGTGCCTGGTTCATTCTTGTCTCCATTTCTTGGTCTATGCAGTTTAGCTTCCGCATCCTCACATCCAGCCACGGACAGATAAGCTCACACACATATACCCACCCTGAGGGGCCTCCCGTCTTCCAGTACTTGTTAAGTCCTCTTTCTCCGTTAATTGAACTCCTCTGTGGTTAAAAGCAGGACAGCATTTTCTTACCCTCTCTGCTCTCATCACCACTTGAAAGGATTGTACTCATTTGTTTGTTTACTTGTTGATTGTCTGTCTCTCTCTCCCCTCAAATTCAAGATGGCGGGTCCTTGTCTGGTTCACCTCAACCAGCACCTACACCACTGCCTGGGGCAGAGAGCCAGCCAGCAAGTATTTGTGGAAAGAAAGTTTATATCTGTCTCCCTACCTCGACTGTGAGTTACAGAGCAGGAACCATGTCTTGGCATAAGTCTGCAATTTGAGAATGATTTCTGCCTTGAGCCCGTGGGCGCCGTACCTGTCTTGATCTGGAGCGCTGTAATTCAGAGGTGTCTTAGTGGAATTGGGCCCCGAGGGTCTTAATTTCAATCAGTCTCCTTGGATTTGTTTTGACTGGAAATCCTATTGCCTGTTTTTAAAACTTATTCCCTCAGGCGCTTTTGAGCACTTGAGACTTCTTGGCAGGCAGGCGTTTCATCCCCATCAGGAAATCTCATCAAAATGATATTAGGTTTGCACATCAGGAAAATAAAAATCCTCTGAGAAGATGTTGCTCTTCTGGGATTGGCTTTGGATATAAGCAGTTAAGCCCATTCAGAAGGTATTTTGACCGCATCTGAGATATTGGGCCAGGGCTGGGTGGCAGAATTTCACAATAAATAATGATGGGAAAAATAAGAGTGGGAAGGAGACCCTCTCCCCTCCAAGGAATTTCTCTAGTTAGAGGCCGAGCAGAATTCAAGAGAAGAGCAAGACACCAGTTTTGGGTATGAGACTTTCTTTTCAAAGGGCTGAGCGGTCACCAGGCATGCTGGTTAGACTGTGACCTGCCCTCCCATGCAGGGTCTTGCCTGTATCTTTTGGTCTGGCCTCCTCCAGCCTCCACCTTGTAAACCGTACTTGGAAAATCCCATAATGGCAGGACCACTTTTATTCGAGGTTCTTAACAGCCCCCCACCGCAAGTATTTTTCACATAATTTGGGCTGGACTTCCTTCCAGAAAGAAGGTACAAGGTTTTCCATCTTTAGGAGGTAGTTCTTGAAGCTCTTGAACTCCTCTTATCTCCAAGTTTTCACAAGTGTGTTTTCACCCACGCCTTTCACTCTTGCTCAGTGTGTTGCTGAGGGTTCTAGAGAGATGACTGTGAAGAAGGCCTCGTGAGGTCAGCAAGAAGGTGACAGGACTGGAGATTCGCCAAGCCCGTGCCCTCTTTGTCTTGCCCTCCCAAGGGGCCTTGTCCTCATGCTTCCGTGTCTCTCTTTTCAGAGGTGTGAACATGTACGCCATGTTGACTGGGACCCTGCCTTTCACAGTGGAGCCTTTTAGCCTGAGGGCTTTGTACCAGAAGATGGTGGACAAGGAAATGAACCCTCTCCCCACCCAGCTCTCTACAGGTAATGCTCCTGCCACTGCGGATTCAGGGTTTCAGGGCTTCCACTCTAACCAGTTTGGATCCAGCTGTGAAGCAGTATTTGTTTTTGTAGCAATGGTGTTAGGGCTACCCCATGATTGTAGGTCTCTCCCTAGTATTAAAGCTAAGTCTTGAGGTGGTTGGGTTTCTCGTCTCTAAGCAGCCACTCCCTTCATCTCACTTCAATCCTTTCCTTTTCTGCTATAATTCTGAACCCTTAACTTCCTCCTTCTACACAGAACACACATATCAAAAGGATCTTATGGTCTCCATCAGAAAAATAATTGCAGGCTTGATTGTTTAAAAACTCACCATAGTATATTGTTGACTCTGAAAAGGGCGTTTATAATCACATTTCTATTGTGTCTTCCTTAGTCAATTCACTGTAAAGAAATATTAGTTTCAATGCAAGTTCGGTCTGTGATTTGTTTTGCAATTTGAGTTTCTGAGCCTCTTCAAAAGCTTTTAAATAGATGTAGGTTCAGTTACTTGATGAGACTGAATCCGCAGGTGTGTTTGGAAGGCGCTCTCAAACTTCAGCTGGTTCACATTTCAGTAAACTGCTCGTATTAAGGTTTGGTTTCAGACCCAGTAAACTAGTACAATTCGTTCTTTTGTTGGGTTCACAGTTCACTTCAAGTTCCTGGCCTCGACAATCATTTAATTGGCTCGTTAGATTAAACTCAACTTCACTGAGATAAGGCCTGTGACCCCCCCCCCCCAAAAAGTGATTATTTCGTTTCAACTGATGAAACGTGGTTAAAATGTAGCATTTTTATTTTACTACTATTATGTATTTTTCTCTTGAGTTTATAAAGCATCCGTGAAGCTGACCCTGAATTTCTGCTTGCCAAATGGACTCCAGGCTGAAAGGCATTCTTGGATGTCATTATCTAACTCAGTCCTTACTTTCACTTTTGCTAAGGAGGATTGAATCCCTGTAGGCTGAAAGCAAGGAAGCATTGTGTACTAGGAAAGATAAGTTACAGCACTCTCATTATAAAGGAGATATTTCTGCACTGAAAGCCGTAACGCTTGGAGTTAGAAAATGTACAAAATGTTGAACAAATTGTTATATTTAGGTTTTAGAGCTTTCAGAAATTTTGAAAGTGCTGCAGAGCACTATGAGGAGTGCTCATTCATTCATTCATTCATTCCATATTTCATAGGTTTTCACTTATTCCATGAATATGTATTGTGTAGCAGCTATGTGCTAGGAATGTTCTAGGCGCCAAGAAGACAGAAGATGAAACAGACATAGTCTCTATCCATACAGAGCTTACATATCAGCAGGGGAGGCAAAAAATAAACAGATAAATAAACATGTCTGATGTTTGGTAGTGTTAGTGCTCTAAAGAAAAGAAAATAAATCAGGATAAGGGGATAGAGAGTAAAGATGTTTTTTTTTTTAACAAATAACATTTTTAAAAAACCTTTTTATTGTGGCGTAATTGTAGATTTACGTGGTTATAAGAAAACATACAGAAAGAACCGTCTACCCTTCACCCAGTTTCCCCCATTGGTCATATCTTGCATGACTGTAGTATAATATCGCCCCCAGGAAACTGACATTGATAAAATCCATTGACTTTATTCAGATTTACATGCATTTGTGTGTGTTGGTGTGTTTTTAGTTTTATGAAATTTTATCGTAGGTGCAGACTCATGTGACAACTCCCACAGTCAAGATCCAGAACAGTTCTGTGACAGGATCTCTTGTGCTGTCCCTCTATAACCAGAGCCGTCTCCTTGCCTGCCACCTCCCTAACCCCCGGCAACCATAACCTGTTCTCCATCTTTATAATTTTGTCATTTCAAAAATGACAAATGACCAAAAAAAAAAATATGTATATATATGTAAATAGCTTTTTTCACTTAGCATAATTCCATTGAGATCCATCCACATTGTTGCATGTATCTATTCTTTGTTCCTTTTTATTGCTGAGTAGTATTCCATAGTATAGATATACCACAGTTTGTTTAACCATTTGCAGTGGAAGGACACTGGCTTGTTTCCAGCTTTGGGCTATTATGAATAAAGCTGCTATTAATATTCTTGTACAGGTTTTTGTGTGCACATGTTTTCATTTCTCTGGGATGAATGCCTATGAGTGAAATTGTGGGGCCATATAGTAAGCACATATTTAATTTTGTAAGGAACTGCCACATTCTTGTTCAGAGTGGCTGTACCATTCGGCATCCCGACTAGCCATGTGGGAGTGATCCAGTTTCTCTGCATCCTTGCTGGCATTTGCTGCTGTCACGGTTTTCTATTTTAGCCATTCCAATGGGAGTCTAATGATATCTCATTGTGGTAAAAAATAAGATTTGATGTTTAAAAACAAATGCAATCTTTCAAGGTAAGTCTCTTTAAGGCTTATATAGTCATGAATATTGCCATCTTTCAGAGAGATTCTGAAGTTTCCTTTACAGTTCAGAGTCTGTTTTGCCTTCAACAGCCATAACAAAGGACGCTAGGAGGATGTTTGTACCCCCCCATGCCTGGAAAAGGCAGACACTTCGAATCCCAGTGAGATCCTGAGGAGCTGGAGAACTGCTTCTCATTGTGTCAGTCAGGATAGGCCAGGTTATGCTGCAATAACAAATAGCCCCCAGATCTCAGCGGCTTAAGATAACAGATTTATTTCTCATTTAAACCACATATCTATCAAGAGTTGGATTGGGGTCCAGCCCCGTGGCTGAGTGGTTAAGTTCATGTGCTCTGCTTCAGCGGCCCAGGGTTTTGCTGGTTCGGATCCTGGGTGCGGACATGGCACCACCCATCAGGCCATGCTGAGGCAGTGTCCCACATAGCACAACCAGAAGGATCTACAGCTAGAATATACAACTATGTACTGGGGGCTTTGGGGAGAAGAAGAAGAAGAAAAGATGGGCAACAATTCTTAGCTCAGGTGCCAATCTTTAAAAAAAAAAAAAAGAGTTGGATCAAGGGTCGAAGGGTTCTGCCCATCCTAGTAGTCAGGGTCCCAGACTGTTGGAGCAGCCACTGTTTCAAGCATGTTTGGTCCATGCAGAGGGAAAGAGATGTCTAGAAGATCTCTCATCAGCAGCTAAATGTCCCACCAACATTCCACTCATAACTCCCAACGTTCTAAAACATGTCATATGGCTTCCCCCGACTCAAGGGAGTGGGGAAGTGCAGTCCTGCTGTATGTCTGGAAGGCAGAAGGCCAGAAATAGCTGTTGAACAGCATTAGCATGAGCCGCAGGCTGTGGGAGGACGAGCAGGCGGTTCAGCCCGCCGTCGTCACGGTCAGGCAGCAGGGCAAGGGCCGGCCGATTGAAAACATAAGGAAATCAGTCTCTTTACTTCTAAACCGTACCTTGTTTTTATCCCCAATACTATTACCCACTTAGTCGGCTGGGATCTCAATGTTTTGTGATTATGAAAATTAAATTTACCCTTAAAGAAGTAAAAGTTGCACGCCTGAAGATGATAAAAAAAAAGTCCAAAGGAAATTCCAGAGGAGAAATATTAGAAATGTTCCAAGTGATTTCAGCATCACTGGGGTTGGGTCCAACCTCCCATAGCTCCTGCTCTGGACAGACAGCTTTGACTTTGGCCTTAAGTTGTGTGTGGGCTTGTTAAACATCTTCACATTCCAAAACTTTGTTGTCTTGACTTGTCAAGCATGACCAAGCGTGAATTGCATTTCTATATCTGGTCTTACATTAAGGAATCTGGACTGCTTCCCCCGGACATTTTTTTTCTATTGGGATATATAAATATTTCTCTCAACTAGGGCTTTAACCCATTGTGCTAGGTGTCAAGGATAGTGTTTGCACATAATAGATGCTCGGTGAATCTAGGTTGCTGACTCTCGTGTTAAAGTGGGTGGCCTGGGAAGGCAGCTCACAGATTCATTCGACTACCCAGGGTTGGAATTAGCCTGATGCAATAGGGTCCAGAGTGGAGGACTTTCGGTTTGGGGATCAGCTGCTCCCCTTCTGACAGCCCCGTTTCTCCAACCCTTTGCACCCCGCCAAGTTTATCCCTTCTCGCTTCCGGCCCATATTCATTTATGACACCATATGATATCATGTTGTTTACATCCACAAATACTAGCTTACCAATAACAAGAGTAGCTGCCATAATTGTCGAAGGGCCGTGTGTGCATGCTTTTCATATTCTCTCTTGTTCTCATAACAGCCCTGCAAGGAAGTACTATTATTCCCAATTTATCAGGGAGGAAACTGAATCTCAGTGAAATTAAATAGCTTCTCTGTTTTTGAATTTATGTCTGCCTGACCCCCAAATCTGGATTTTTCTACTATACTGTGCTACTTATCTCTCTTTCCTTATTTTATTTACTATAAGATGCCCCTCTGCCTAGATTTGGGGGTATTATCTCTTGTCCTTATGGTTTGAGTAATATCAAACTTGAAATGTCCAAATTGAAAATGTGTCAGTTTTAGTGTCTCACTTACACATCTTTATTAATTTGATGACTCTGTCGCTCATATTCGTAACGACATCTCCATGTCTATTGTGTAGTAGTATGCTTTTTTTTTCTTAGATTAAGTTGGAAGAATTTTTGCCAAATTTGAGTTAAAACAGTGCATTATTACCCCTGGCGAGTCCACTGTGCATGCTTTCGAAGAATCGCTCCTCGTCTCTCCCATGTAGTTTGAAAACTTAAGCTCTTGGGACCTTTCCAGTTCTCGCTTCTAGACAATTTGTCTTTCTGCTTGTTGGCGCTCGTACATCACAGAGTCGTGAATACCTTCCGTGGCTTACACGTTTTTCAGACAGCTTATCTTTTCATCACGACACCTCAGTGATGGCACTTATACTGCATTCCAAACAGTCACTTCAGATCAAGAGGCTTTTGTACCATGAAGTTGCCGAAGTGAAGCTGAAGGTGAGGTGTTAGCATCTTCGAGGGTTGAGCCAACGCTAATTAAGATTTCAGAGGAGGCTCGACTGTCAAATAATTGTTGCTGCTTTCACCCTGGGACATGATGGGGGAGGAGCCTCGGGTGGGGATGGGATTCCACTTGCATCCACTGGGCTACACTCATGGAAAAAGTCCGATGGCTCTGTCCATGCCCTGCGACCCTTTCCCTAGACTCACACAAGTCAGTCTAGACTTTGGAAAGCTAATGCCTCATGGAGGAAAGTAGGTTTTGCTCTGGAGGAGTGGGTACCACGTGTGATGGGGAGCACAGAGAGGGAGCTTCCTATGTGAGTCACCCCTACCCTCCAGCCCGAATGAGAGCCCATGTGCTAGCTCAGAAGATGGATTGCGACACATAGCCCTGCCCGCCGCAGCTTTCTAGGACAGTGGAGAATATTTTAATCCCTTTTGCTCGTGAGTCATAGAGATTTTCAAGACCCTAACACATACTTCAAAGAGCTCTAAGGATGTTTTCAAAGCCCTTTTTGGATAGTAACGCCAAGCTTGTGATGTCCAAAGAAAGAAAATTCGTCAGTAGAGATTCAAACTAAAATTACTTGTGCTCATCAGCAAGTTGTGAAGATGCAGAGCGCTTGGTTCTGAAAATAGAACAAAAATGCACATCCAGTCTGTTCTTAGCTCTTCTGGCTAATCAGACTCTGAAAAAGGCTGGTGCAGCCTGGGTTGTTGTTCAGGGCTTTTGAGGGTAAGCAAGAGAGATGTCTCAGAAACATCGTTAACTCACAGCCTCTCCATTTCAATTCATTAAGCCCGCATCTTTTTCCTTTGACCAGTAGAGCTTCCTAATTAAGCATCCAATGACTCTTGCAGTGTAGGGGAGCTGAGAGACGGGACACAGAGATTCCAAAAAGAGGAACCTCTGTTTTTGGAGATCTGTTTCCTTTTGAGACCATTGAAGAACATTTTAGGAAAGGTCTGCTTGGAGACCCAGCGATAAAACTTAGAGTAATAAGTGTACCTACCTCATGACTGCTCTGGTGTCTACCCGTGTATTTTTACCCACTACATTCTTAAAGAGAAATGACCCTCTGGTGACCTTAGCAACTGTAGGAAAATAACACCTTAAGGAGTTACCGAGTTATCTGGCGGCACAACCTAGCAAAAGTTGTTTCTTTTGGGTTGATTCTGGCATCACGATTATGCTGTCTTTTGATGGCCTCGTTTCTATCCTGCAGAAAATAGGTTGACAGACAACACTCATCCTTCTGTAAAGGACAGCATTAAAATGACAAGTAAAGCCTGTGGGAAAGTGAGGATTTTGATGACTCTTCCTCGAAAGGTTAGATTATGTTAGAAACTGAAAAATAGTTTTGGAGAGAAGGCTAGAAAAGTTTGAGGACCAAGCAAATTAAGATTCTTTTCTGAGATCTAATACTTGTTATATTGGTAATTGGATATCATGTACAAAGTTACATAAAATAGTATTTTTTATATTGCAGAGAAAATATGGCAATGCTCCATAAAATAAGGACTATAGAATAAGAAAATGTCACGGTCCCACAACTCAAGCACGACAGACCATCTTCATTTTGAAGCCATCCCTGGCATTCTTTGTCCATATGTGGACATGCATATTCTCATGCTGAACAATTTTGAGGCCTGTGGCCTTTGTGTGCATTATAACATATTTTTCCACGTTGTGTAGTTGTTTCCATTGTTATAATCTTAAAGGATGCGTATGTTCTATCCCTAGAGTCTGGATGGACACCAGGTGCTCTGTAAATGTTTGTTTAATGAAAGGAGACCCAGGGCATCTGAAAAGTCATTTTTGCCTGCTATAGAAGAGAAAGGGATTGTAGGAATTTTGTAGTTTGTCAATCGCTTCTCATGTCCTTTCCTTACCCACCATGCTCAGCGTAACTGCTGTGTGGTGGCAGCGAACTTCAGTAGGCTGAAAAATAAGGACAAACTTTATTCATGTCCATTCTGCCCAAGCAGCCCCTTCAGTTTGAGGGACAGCACAAAAGGAGAGGGCCCATCAGGTAGACATGGGTTTACTGTCTCGCGCTTGCCAGAACTTTGTACACGAACAAGGATTTGAAAACTTGAGTCATTGTTACAGAGTTTACTTAACCCTTTAACAAAAACTGGCTCTCTGGCATTGTGTTGGCCTTGTTGGCTCAGCTAAGTGGGCATGGGCTCTGGCTGGCATGAGGGCTGCATCATCAGTTCAGGGTCTGGGGAATGAGTGGGTGGCCATGGAGAATAGCTTTAAAAGAAGGGAGCGGAAAGAAAGCAGGACCTCCCTGATGCCTTGAGACTGTGATGTCACATGGTGAAGGCCAAGTTAGAGGGTCTAATTTAGAATGCCTGTACCCTCTGGTTCCTTTGTGAGTGCTCAAAATCCTACCTTGAAATCAAGTTTTTTCTCTTTCCTTTGTTTCATCCCTTCAAGCCTATAAATACAACATCTCTTTGGTTCACCTTTAGAGGTGGACCACAAGAAGAGACTACAGGTTGTATTGGGAAGTGCAGGGTGTCGGGAGACCCGAACTGGTCTTGCTTTACCATGTGCCAGTTGCATCCCTTGGACAGACATCTTAAACACTTTGACTTGTGGCCCAGAGATCCAGAAAACAGATCCGCCCAGCAGTGGCTCAGGAGGGTTGGTGGGTCATCTGCCTCAAGTCCCAGTGGTGTCTTCATTCAGCCTGTAACATGCCTGTGTTATTTGCCAAATGTCTTCACAGGAGCCATCAACTTCCTGCGCTCTCTCCTGGAACCAGATCCCGTGAAGAGGCCCAATATTCAGCAAGCACTGGCGAATCGCTGGCTTAATGAGAATTACACAGGCAAAGTGCCGTGTAATGTCACCTACCCCAACAGGTAATCAAGTGCACACAGAAGGCCCCTTCTTCGGGCCAGATGGGGCCTGTCTTACAAGCCCTGAATTGCTCCGGACGGGAGGCTGTACATGATTCAAGCAAAAGCTGCGTCTTCTCTTGGCGGCTGCCCTTCCACCCTCTGCAGCCACACATCCATGGACAAGCCCACATCAGTGCATGAGAGGCAGTGTAGAGAGGGCCATCCCATGTGATTGTGGAGAGTGTGCCCTGCAGGGGTGCCCAGTGGAGGCTGCAATCCAGGCCACATTCCCCTTGTCAAACCTCCTCCGAAGGACCTGCATCTTCCCAGAGTGGCGCCTCTTTCTAATTCACACAAAGGCACCATTTAGACTAGCTATGGCTTGAGTATGTGTGTGTGTGTCTATGTGTGTGAGTATTTAAGTGCGTATGCCTGTGAGTGTATCTCTTTGTATTTGAGTGTGTGTGTGTGAGATCTACCCATGAGCTCTCCTGCCAGCATCAGGCAGAATCCGGTGGAATGGCCTCTCTCCCCTTTCAAACCACCCCTCAGCCTCCTCCTCTGCCACTTCTTTGCTCTGATGTTTATTTCAGCCCTAAGTCCTCGGCCTTAGAAAGTTGGGGGCAGGAAGAAAAGGCAATGGAAGGAGTCATTTGCTTCAGGCCACATTTCCCGTGGACTTCCTGTGAAGGCTTCACCTCAGCAGTTTCCATGAGGAGGAGTCTTTTTATTTATTTTTTATGAGGAAGATTAGCCCTGAGCTAACATCCACCACCAATCCTCCTCTCTTCCTCTTTTTGCTGAGGAAGATTGGCCCTAAGTGAACATTTGTGCTCATCTTCCTCTACTTTATATGTGGGATGCCACCACAGCATGGCTTGACAAGTGGTGCGTAGGTCCACACTTGGGATCCGAACCGGTGAACCTGGGCTGCCGAAGCAGAGTGTGCGAACTTAACCACTACACCACTGGGCCGGCCCCAGGAGGAGGAATCTTTAAGGAAGGCTTACAAGCAGGAATCCACAGCATGGAAACACTGAGGGATACCTTGTGATGGCCCCCACGTCTCCATGCTGGGGCACTGGCTACAGATTGGAAAACATTTCCTTGAACTTTTTTCCTACTCATTTGACATTTTGTTAACTGACTCGAGTGGGGGAATGAGGGCCCTCATTTTGGTTACTTTAAAGCAGACATGGAGACCACATGAGTCAGACCCTTCCAGGGCTGGGACCCACCTCGACTCCTTCTTCCTTCAGACCTAGAGTGGCCTGCACGCTTGACCACTCTCAGATGAGGACAAGGGAACCCCTGATGAAGAGGGCAGATGGGGAACTGGAGGGAAAGAGGTATCCTCCATAATCATATTTTCAAAATGCCTAGGAAGGTCTGGAAACTTCCACCAAGTCTTATGAAAGCTGCAGTGCGGAGTTCTTCAAAGGAGGTGGGCAGGTAGGGCTCTGTCTTGGAGAGAAATTTCTAGAAGAACTTAAGGGGGTGTGGGTGGACCTTCCTGGAGTCTGCATCCATGCCCCTGGGCCAAGTTTACACATGCTATGGCCATAGATGAGGTGGTTTCACTCAGTTGCCTTCTAGAATTCTCGCATTTGATTCATGGGAGGTAATTTACACAAAGTCTAGGTGACTGAGGTTACCAAGGGAACCTGGAAATAGACTCTGGTTTCCAACAGCGGCTCGATTTGGGTCCGTATCTGAAATAGACACCAGAAATATTACCCCACCGTGAGATGGAAAGCCAAGCTGAGGGGCCAGACCTCATTACCAGGGCTCATTATGGATAGCAGCGCACAGGTATGCTCTCTGTAAAGGAGGGGCATTAGTGGCAGCCAAATGAGTCATTAAGCTAATGTAATCACTGTCTAAACGAGCGTAATCAAGCCACTCAACGTGGCAGCTGTTGAAGAAAGTGGAGCTGGTATTAGAGACGGTGTCCCTGCTCCTTGCTGGCTGCATCTTCATTCACTCATTTTATACTAGAGGCAAATCCACGTTCCATTTTTAAGCCATGAAACCAGAAATCTAAACTGTTGGGAGAGGCCCATGTTATTTACAGTCTTTATTTTGAAAAATGTTGAAAGCAAAAAAGATGTGCTTTTGATAATTATTTTTCTGGTTTCTATCAGCACACCGATAAATGGAGTAGGAACGTGTGACCAGAGAAAGGGATGCTTTCTTTATAAAGTATGTTTTATGGCTTCCCATCATACCTAGCCCCATTTAGTTATTTTAGGTGTTGTCAGTGTTTTCCTTTGGGAAAGAAAGAGAATAAATGTCTGTGTTTTATATCACTCCGCTGTAAAGCCTCCTCTGAAGTCACTTGGGCCTCCAAGTTGATCTCCAAAAGGCAAGAGGAAAATGTCTCTAAAAGTAAACTTTTTACAATAAATGTTCACGCTGGTCCATCAACATGTTTGCTGTGTATCAGGCTGGCCTCCCTGTTCTGGGAGCAGACATCTTGACAAGAGCAGACCTTGGCAGCTTCCTCCCTCTCCCTGCGTGGGCTTGGACAGTCTCGCCGCTGCTTCAGTTAGCTCTGGAGACGGAGGGAGGTCAAGGAGGTCATTGATAACACAGGACAGAATTAGACCGAAGTGGTATACAAGCGGTTTTAATGAGAATTTATTCAGTTAGAATTATACCTAGTGCTCTGGAACATTTCACCATTGTCTGTATCATCCAAACGTGGAGAGATAATACAAATTCAATAACTGATATCGTAGAGCACCAAATATATACACTGCTTATTGGACAAATGTTTAAAATATTACTCTCAGTCAACAGTCAGTGGACAGTGTGTATTTTGGCAGAGGTCTCCTGTTTTTGAAGACAACGGATATGAAGGGCAGAGATGGGGTGTCTGCCCTGCTCACTTCCCTCCTCTCACCTCCACCTCCCAGCCCACCCCGTCCTTCCTTATGGCACCCCACACCCAAGCACTCGTCCTTCCAGAGCCTGCTCCTAGTAGAAACCGGGCTGTCTGCATGTGGCTGTGGTTTGATTGGCATGGGGCAGAGTCACACAGCCATGATCTGATTGGCCAGGGGCCAGGCTATTAGTGTGGTCTGATTGGCTAAGATCAGAGCACAGCAGTGGTCTGATTGGCCAGGGGCGAGGCCATGAGGCATGGTCTGATTGGCTAAGGTTAAAGCACAGAGCAGTGGTCTGATTGGCCAGGGGTGGGGTCCAGTGGCTGTGGTCTGATTGGTCAGGGACAGGGCACAGCAGTGGTCTGATTGGCCAGGGACAGGGCCGCTCCCACACAGACATTACCAGGTAGTTTCAAAGAATCCAGCCTTCTGTGTCGTGTTTTGGCAAACTTCAAGTAATTGTATTCTTTTTTTTAACAAACATTATTATGTTTTGCCATTAGTCATTCCAACCCCCTGCCATTTGTTATTTAGAATTTGTGATTTTTGTGGTCAACCAGAGTGAGGGAGGTGGATTTCCTGGTTCCTTGCTCGCATTTTCTTTGGACTGCACTTACTCAACTCCAGGGGAGGGAGAGCTGAGGTAGGTTACAGGACAGGTGGTGCAAGGTGGTCAGCAGACCCAGGTCTGCCCTTGTCTCCCCTCCCAACTGGCCTGTGAACTTGGCAGGTCAGTTTCCTCTTATGGACCATTATGGGGTTGTACTGTGCAGTTTCTTGGGGTGCTTTGGTTCTGAGGTCCCATCAAAAATGTCTTTGGACCCCTTGGGGGGGGTCTACAGAGTTCTCCAGGCAGATGTGCTTGCACTCTGCTCCCAGAGTGCCCTATTTGTATCTTCTTGAGGGACTAGAATATCTATCTGATGACACACCCCTGCTGCCAACGCACATACTCCTTATACCCGTCAACCCGCGTTCTTGTTCTCCATGGCCATTGGCCCTGTCTGTTTATTTGAGAGACGCTGAGTGTGGAGGTTTAGCTTCTAGATTCTAAGCCGGGCTGCCCCAGTTTCAATTCTGGGGCTGCTACTTCCCACCTTGTGACCGTGGACAAGTTGCTTCACTGCTGGGGGCCTCAGTTTCTTCATCTGTAAAATGGGGATAATAGCAGTGCCTGCCATAAAACTGTCATGAGGGCCAAATGACTTTATCTTCTCTTCTCCCCACTGGAACGTAAACTGCATGAGATGTGAATTTGTTGCCCGAAAGGGTGAGTGGATAAATGAATGCCTGGCATTTCTTTGGCACTTCATCTCAAGGAGTTCATCTTCCTAATACTTCTGCAAAGAAGCTTTAACCTGTCCTCTGAGAGCACCTCACTTTACAGTTGAACCCCAAATTCCCTATTTGTGAACTTGTGAGCTCACACCGTTCCTTTAAACACGGCCTGGGTTGGCTCCTGAATACCTTCCTTTCCCATCCCAGCTTACACCCAACTTTTAAGCATGGGCTGTGCTCACATCCAACAAATATATTTTATGGAAAGAATGTCAAATTGTAAGAAAATTGGGGATAATTGCGAAAATTCGAATATGGTCTAAATGTTTGACAACATTAAAAGACTATTAAAATTTTGTTGGGTAAGTTGATTGTGATTCTGTGGGGGATAGATGTCCTTGCTTTTTAAAGATGGTCATAGAGGTGTTTAGGAATGAAATGCCATGATGTCTGTGATTTAAAATGCTTTAGCAAAAAGAAAAAAAAATAGATGAAGCAAGTATGGCGAAGAGTTAACAGTTGCTTCTCCCAGATGTTGGGCGCACAGAGGGGAATTATACTATTCCCTTGTCTTTTCTGTGTCTATAAAATTTTTCATAATAATGAATGAGTGAATGAATGAACCTGATTGCTTTGTGCTACCATGTTTGTGGGCATCACTAACGAGGCCCCAGAGCCCTTCTGTGAAGGTGGAGACATGACCAGTTCTCTGTCCCTCTGCCGCCCAGGATTTCCCTGGAAGACCTGAGCCCCAGCGTGGTGCTGCACATGACCGAGAAGCTGGGCTACAAGAACAGCGACGTGATCAACACCGTGCTCTCCAACCGGGCCTGCCACATCCTCGCCATCTACTTCCTCTTAAACAAGAAACTCGAGCGCTATTTGTCAGGGGTGAGTGGGGCCCTCGTGGCCATTTTCTCTCCTTTCTGTGGACAAGGAAGCTCTTATGCCCCATTGGTTTCCCAGCTGCTGACACTTGATCTAAGCTGTTAATTTAAACTAGGGTGGGATAAAAAAAAGTAGCAAAACCTGCTTCTCAGGTAGCTAGTGCTTTTTATCTGAGGTGTTTTTCAAATATTCTCCCACAGAGTAAAGCCCTGGGTAGCACTGTGAGAGGTTCCCACCTCTTTCCCTTCAGCTTCTCTGTTGCCTTTTTCATTCTGCTGTCTCTCAGCTCTTGGGGTTCCCACGTTAGAGGCATTGGGGTCTTCTGTGGTCCTAAAAGTTGGAGAGCAGGCTCTCTCAGGCATTCATCTCTGAAGCATGGTATATGAGAAAGCCACTATTATATTTACTTCTCCAGAAAATAAGAATGAAATTGATCTTCACTAGCTTGACCCCGGCCCATTTTCTCAATCTGGGCATCAGAGTCCAGGTGTCCTGGGCTGCGTGTGAGGCACAGCGTGGAGTCTGGTAGCCTGGGGTGGACAGTGGTACCCTCATGCCTTGGTCACCTTCATCCTTTTGCCACAGGTAGTTCATCTGGGCCTGGGTAAGGGAATTTACATGCTCCAGTTTCTAGTTTGGACTAAATCATTTCTCTCCAAATGGACAACGGCTTAAAAAGAATTCTGTGAAGAAAACTGGATCAAAGGTGGTATCAATGCTGTCTGCCACTCCTGTTTCTCCTGCTCAGAATGTGGGGGCTGACCATCTAACAGGAAGTCAACCAGAGAAACTCAGAATTGTCAGGAAGCCCATCTGAAATTTGATTTCATATCCACTGTCACTAAGGATGACCTCTACCCTGTCTATATGGCGGCTGAAGATCTGATTGTGTGGGTCAACGCTGTTAGGAAGACATTTAGACTCCAGAACATGAAGATGAACTTCTAGAGTTTTCCAATGCTGTTTAAAGTCACATGATAGCCAAATGCATCACAAAATTCCACTAAATAATAGGCTTAGAAACCTTTTGTGAGGTTTCTATCTTAGAGCTGAAGATGAAAATCCACCTACAATTGGGGAAGTGATGTTCTCCCTGCCGTGGTGGAACTGGCCAAAATAATGCCCATAAGATGAGATGGTGAGAGTGTATCTCTTGTTAGCAAATAGATTTGGGAGACATCCAGAAAACATTGCTGACTAGTGAGGAAGCTCCAAGGAAAGTTTGTTAAATAGTCGGATGAAAGTACAGATGTTTCTAAGCTGATTCAGCTTAGGATATTTGCTAGATTTTGCTTCAACAGGAAATTATTCACAGAACTCCTTTTTTTGGTGAATCACCAAAGGAAAGATGTATGTGAGAAGAAACATTGTCCATAGTAAAGGCTTTAAATGAGAGCAGTGTTTTATGGGGGAAAACCACGCTCCGTGCAAGCAGTGATGGGATGACACTTCTGATGGTGACAAACATGTGGCTTTGAGGCTAGATCTTAGAGACAGTGCCACTGTCATAGGAAAACTGCAGGCGAGAAGTCAAGGTCAGAAAGATGGGACCTTCGAGAGATAGCATATTATTTGTATCATTTTATTATATGATAAGGAGTGATTAAGAAAATCTCTTATATCACACAGAGGTTCTTATTCTCTCACGGTGAGAAACTTAAAAGACATATTGAACTTGAGGCTGCTTTCCAGTTCCCTTTTATAAGAAGACGATTTGTTCCACATTTCTTTCTTATCTTTTTTAATTCCTATTTTATAATGTACATGATATACTACAGTGGCACTTGCTTATAATGTTTAAATAAATATGCATATGTTGTAGGTGCCTGCTTACAACTTTTTCACTCATATGGGCTCAAGGTCACACCATTTGGGGACCATCATGCTAGAGGACAGCAATTAAGAATTTAAATAATTCTCAAGTAAAAGGAAGAGAAGAAGGTCAACACGCTGATTTTCCTTTTCAAATGATGAATGTTGTTCAAACGTTAGTTTTTAAGAAGTGTTTCCAGGAAACTGACTATAAAGTTGATGATTTCACATATTTAGAGGATGACATTGCTACGTTCCTAAGATTCAAACATTTTCTTTTGGGAAAACTAGTTCTTCAGATGCTGATGTGTAAGATGGAGGTTCGTTATTAAAATAGTTTCTTTCATATGTCTACCAACACGTCTACAGATACAAACTTTGGTTACTCATACTTATCCTAAACACCACAGAGCTCATCCCAAGCAAGAAAGCCCTTGGTCTGAAGCTCTTAGGCTGTATCGTGCTTTCTCTGGGTGTCTTGCCATCTGCTGTATTTCTGCTCCTCCTCTTTGCCCAGCTTCAGGGTTGCAAGTGTTGCAAAGCTGAGCATGGTTTTGTTACTGAGAACATTCCCTGGAAATTCAGCGAATGTACTTCTAACTGGAGAAGGTTCTTATTTTATTGTATCTGTTTCACACTTAACCCTTAAATCACAGGACCTACCTGGTCCGAGAACCAGCGTCTAGGCGAGTGCTGTTTTTAACTAGAGCGAATGAATCCCCACAGACAACTACAGGCATCCACTCAGTAATTTCCGCACGTGGCTAATTTAGTGGCACCGTATGCACTATCCCAGTTATTCATCTCACCAACAATTACTAACAGCCCGTGTATAATTTTGAAAAAGAAGCTAGTGAACCAGAAAGTAAAATATTGTGCCTTAATTGTCATTTCTCCCCTTCTCTTCTGATGCTCGTTTTCTCTTTCTAAAACCAAAAGCATGGAAAGTTGGAGAGCGTGTAACGGCATTCCGTGAATTGGTTGATAAATTAAGCAGTCAGTTGTGTAATTTCACCTGTCTCCAGATGCGACTGCACCTAAACCCTGTACCTAGATAATTGTGGGGCGGCTTCAGTCTTCTTCAAGCTATGTTGTGAATTGCTGTGACTTTTATTAGGACTGCAGGCAGGGACTAGGGCTGTTTTTAAGCAAACAAAACAAGATGTGTCTCCTACTTAGTAATTCAATAAAATAAGTTATTCTTCCCAGCTCACGTATTTGGTTTCTGCATTCCCATCTTAGACTTCGTTGCACAGAGGAAAGAACTGAGGCCCAGCAAGGAGCATCTACCTGCCCAGGGTTACTGGACCCTGGCCTGGCAGAGCCGGTAACAGAATTAGGTCTCCTGACTCTGGGCCCGGGGCTCTCCCCACACTGCATCCTGACTGCAAACCATCCGCAGATGAGCCGTTGCATTTCAGTGAATGGACTTGCCAACCACTTCTGGCACTTTCTCAGCCAAGTGCTGGTTTAAAAATTAATGACTGCTTAATGGACATTTCCATTTCCCATTTGTTAAGCTACGTTTGTTTTCTCTTCCCCTCTGGTAGAAATCTGACATCCAGGACAGTGTCTGCTACAAGACCCAGCTCTACCAGATAGAAAAGTGCAGGCCCACCAAGGAGCCCTTTGAGGTGAGTGACGCCAAAGCAAAACCCAGGATCGCTTAGGAAGGGTGGATTTCCATTTGGGGAGGGGAGTGGAAAGGAAACCACTTATTATGGTTCATAGAAGTAGCAAAGATCAAACACTTGACTGAGCCCTGGAGAAATTGGTTTACGACAGAGTAACCATTGCTCAATCTCCAAAGGATGGTTCTCAGCTGTGGCCGCACATTAGAACCATCGGGAAGCGTTAGGCCATCTGGGTGCCCAGGCCACATCTTGGACCAGTTCTATTGAATCTCAGGGGTCTGGACTTGGGGGTCAGTATTTTTTAAAGTTCCCTGGACAATTCCATTGAGCAGCCAAGGTCGGAAACCACTGTCAGATCTCCAGAAGGCAAAAATGAGATGCTCAGAAATGTAAGTGAAGGGACTGCTTGGCATCAGGAGAAGAAAGTAAGACGAGGAACTGAGAAAAATGGGAGAAGTTTTGGACGAAAGCGAGCTCTTCCATTCAGCTCTCCCTGCTGACCTGATGCTACCTAGCACATACCTGTGAGAAAATACCAAGATTCTTTGAATCCAGAGTAAAAACTGGGGACATATGGCAAATTTCCCCAGTTTGGACCCCAGATACGTGCTCGTAAAGAGACTGTGCCTGGGAACTCCAGATCCAGGGCCAGAAGCACGGGGTGAGGGTGCTCCCCAACCCAGGACTCCTCACTCGCCATTTTGTCAAGTGGGGTCCTCTGTCTTCTCAGTGATTTTCCTGGGAACCCACTTCTGTTTGCCCTCCGGAGCCTCTCCCATGTGCCCCAAGTCCCTCTGGCACAGGAGCCTCTCCCACTACACCCAGAATTCCTTCATTTGAAGAGAGATCCAAAAAGGACCCTTCCTCCACACCCTGCCCGAGGCTGATGGGCCTGCCCACTTCCCTCTTCCCTTTTCCAACTCAGAACTTTCACCCTGATTCCACAAGCCTCGCGTGTCACCAGGAAGGAAGTCCTCCCAGGTTGTTCCTGAGCGCCAGGCTGCAGTGAAGCGGTGGGTGGTAACTGAGCACTGTGGCTCCTTGGCAGCCACAGAAAGCAAGTGGGACACAGCCCAGGGCAACACAGTGATGCAGGTGACGCAAGTGCTGAGCTGTGAGGCGCCACGGGAAGATGTGACAGGAGCATGGGGAAGGGGCCGCCCCTGAGTGTCAAGGCCAGAGGAGGGTATCACAGCTGTCCAATGTAGACAGAGCCTGGGGGACGGCTCGATTTAAGGAGGCAGAGAAGAGGAGACACTGATGACAGAGAAACCAGTGAAGATGTCAGGGGTGGCCAGGGAGTCTGCAGGTGACCCAAGAGGCAGTGATCCAGGGAGACCATGGGAAAGGCCAAGTATTAAATGGTCACTGGTGTCGACTGAGCAGTTAGTTATCCTGGGACCTTAGAGAGAACAGTTTGATGGAAGTGGAATAGGCAGAAAAGAGATTGCATGGATTTAGGGGAGGAAAGACAGCCCAGATCTCTGTCAGTGACACCGGCAATGAAGAGGAGGAGAGGACATGGCCTCTGCTTGAAGGACACACAGGGAGGTGGGAAGGTGGAGGAGATAGAAGGAACTCCAGTGGTGGGAGGGGAGGGGTACACATTCACAGCAGCCAGGGTGGAGCTCAGCCTTGACCCCAAGGCTGGAGGCCTCCTTCTTCTGAGACAGGCTGTGGGCACCAGCATGATAAGGATGGAGATAAGCTTTTGGAGGGCGGGCTGTGCAGGCTGGGGCTGACCAGCAAGCCCATGCATGGCTTTCAGGCTGAGAGCAGGAGAGCGGAGGTGGTGTAGGGACCAGCCTCCCCTGAGCTCCAGACCCTCTGGCCAGTTGCTTTCTAAACCTCCTCGTGCCTGAGTGGAGGTGTCTCCAATCTAGCATGCCCGGAACCAGACGCCGCCCACCCCCCCATTCTCTGCCTCCAAATGGCAGCCCCGCCCTCGGTACAGGGCAGAAACCCAGGAGTCCTTTTAAATTCCTTTCCCTCACCCCCAGAGCCAGTCGGTCACCAAGTTCTGCCAATTTGACTCCTAAAGCTCTCGAAGCCCTCTGTCCTCTCCATGCTCGTCCTCCCGCCCCGGTCCCAGCCACCATGGCCTCTTGCCTGGACCTCTGCCATGGCCTCCTAACGGGTCTCGCCCGTTCCCATGACTGCCTGGCACTCTCTTCTGTGCACACCAGCCAGAGCAAGCTGTCCACCCTCAAATCAGATCCTGTCCCTTCCTTGCTCGAAACCTTCAAAGACTTCTTTAACCTGAAGGGCAAACTCTGTGACGTGGCCGCCGTGTCACAGATGGGACTGGCCTCTGCTTGCTTCCCCAGCCTCATCTCCCAGGCCCACACACATGGCCCTGCTTCTTGCTTTGTGCTCAGTCCCACGGGCCTTCAGATTTCTCTGCTCTCTTGGCTGCCAGGACTGTGAACACCCTGTTCCCTCTTCCAGAATGTTCTCTCCACCCCTCGTTGCTGAGTTAATGTCTGTATATCTTCAGACCTGCAGGCAGGGTCAGTTTCTCATGGCTCCATGCCAACCTCTGACCTCTGCCCCTGGGACGCATCCCTCCAGTACAAGCTGTCACACCTCGTTGTGCACCTCGGGCTTGTCCCATTTGCAGCATTACATTTTCAGGGATTATTTGGCTAATGTTTCTCTCCCACTCTGGCCAGTGAGTCCCTAAGAACAGGGGCTGGGTCTCTTTTGCTCCTCACAGCATCCCTGAAGACTGCACGATGCCTGGCACACAGTAGGTGCTTGATAAATATTTGCTAGATGAGCGAATGAAAGAATCAAGTGGACCTTGACCCAAGTCTCAGAAAATAGAATTGGGACAGCAGCTGGAGAAGGTGGAACATTCCGGGAGGGACGCCTAGCTTGATTAAAGTAGAGGGGACACCTGCAGCATAGCACACATGTTGCATTGTCATCACTGGATGCCATGCCCTAAGGCAGAGAGGGACCTCTTATGCTCAGTTGCACCGAGGGTGGTCACCGCGGCTGGGGTGACCAGGGCATGCAGAATTCACTGTTTGGCACCCCTGCCTCTTGGTTTGTATCAGACTCCTTATGGCTTCAAGGAGTAATTCAGACTTAGATGCACCAGGTACCCCTATGCGTGCACCTTAGTGGCCTCTAACCCACTTTGCCCATGCCCATGTCCTTGGCTGCCCTCGCACCCGGCCCCCTGCGGTGGTGTATTTGAAAGTATCAGAACTGTGATGGGAAAGGGACCTCTTTTTCTCATCCAGATTATTTTTTGTGGATGGTTATTTCATTTGGCCCAAAAACACATATTGAGCGTTTTAAACATTTGTTGGAATATTTAATGGTTTGGGTTTCAATAGGAACGCTAATGGGAAAACAGAATTTCAATTCTCTATGATCCATTTGTTTTCTCCAAACTGCCGTGATACTTCTGCTAATTAAATTACAGGCTCTTACTAGATTATCAAACGCCTCTCCCTTGGAACCTAGAAAGTGGAGTGGGGCCAGTTAGACAAAGTGTTAAGAAAGTCTGAAAGAGCTCAGATTTTCTAGGAAAAGCCCACTTAGAGCCTCTGTGGGTTTCGTTCCAGTTGCCATCGGCTGGTCCAGGAGAAGAAGCCGCCAAGCGGCAGGGGAGGTGGGGGGGTTGGGAGAGGGCGTGGTGGAGGGAAGATTCAGGTTGGCTGAACGGGGGCGGCCCAGGGGCCGTGTCCCCGCATTGTAGGCTAGCCACGGCCTCTTTGTTTTTCCTGATTCCAGTTCTTTTTCTCCTAGGAGACAAAGGAGTTGAATTAAGTTGAAAAAAACCTCCCTCCTGGGATGACAGTACTGTGATTGTGCTTTTATGACTTCACCACTTTCTCCACCTCTTCCTCCCGTAAAAGGCAGAAATTATGTTTGTGAAAGTAGGACACCTGTCTGGTCTAAGAGTGCCTCGGGCGTGGGCCCCAGGGACTCCTGTTCCTAAAACAGAGGCCCTTGAGGACTGTGGGGGTCGAGGCGGGGCAGTCCTCGTTTCTAAACTGGCTTATTAAAGCCATATAGAGCCGGAAGCCATTTTTGTTATTAAAGTCTTTAAAAATAATGTTAATTTGTAGAAAAATGTAAAACAGAACTAGGAGGGCTTCTCTGTAGTGTCAAAGTAATATTGCTGATTTGGAAGAAAAGTTGTGCGGGGGGTGGCAGAGGGACTGTGTTAGCTGGCTAGGACTGCCCTGACCAAGTACCGCGAACTGAGTGGCGTAATCAACAGAAATTGATTATCTCGCGGTTCTGGAGGTCAGACGTCAGAGAAGAAGATGTGGGCAGGGTTGGTTCGCTCTGAGGCCTGGGAGGGAGAATCTGTTCCATGTCCCTCTCCTAGCTTCTCCTGATGGCTGGCAATCTTTGGCGTTCCTTGTCTTGTAGACACGTCACCCCAATCTCTGCCTTTGTCCTCACATGGCGTTCTCCCTGTGTGTGTGTGTGTGTCCAGTCTCCGTCTTTTTATAAGGACACTAGTCACATTGCATCAGGGCCCACCCTAATGACCTCATCTCAATTTGATTACCTCTGTAGAGGTGACACCAACAGGCCCCCTTCTCAAAGGCAAAGGGGAATGAGCTTTCACAACCCCATCTCCCCCAAGCTTCCAAGGGACATGACAGGCCTGTCCTGACCCTGATTTCAAATAAAGTCACATTTGGAAGTCCTGGGGGTTAGGACTCCGACATATGAATTTTGGGGGGCTACCATTCAACCCATAACGGGGACTATAAGTTGAAAGGTAAAATATTAAAATGTTCACCTCGTGTCTTATTTCAAAATCCATACAACTTTTTAAAATAATGTTTGGAATCAAACCATCTGTGCTGTTGGAAATCAGAACGGTAGTTACCTCTGGGGACTGGGAGAGGATGCAGGTGGGGGTAGGAGGGACTTCAGGTGCGGCTTGCGGTGTCTTAGCTGTTTGAGAAAACGCGTGGAACTGCTGACTCATCATTACAGCCTCCGTTCTGTGTCTTAGACTTTAATACAAAGCTTACCTAGAAAATCTGTTCCGTGCATGAGTTAGGACATCTGCTGCCTGCTTCCACAATGATTTAGGAGTTTGGTTTCTTGTCTGTAAACATGGAAATGAATAATTTCCAACCAGAGCTGCAAGTGGTAGGGGATGGAGTTTAGAGAATTAACAGCAGGTGCAGCTTCTTGTATTGTTGAAAAATGCTGCTTTTCGCAGGCCTCCCTGGACACCTGGACAAGAGACTTTGAATTCCATGCTCTGCAGGTAGGAACCTGGGGGGTTATGATGGGTTAGTCAGTTCTCCAGAGAATTGGAACCAATAGGATGTATGTGTGTGTGTGTGTGTGTGTGTGTGTGTGTGTGTCTGTCCGTCTCATGCTTGGAGACACATGGTAGAGTTGGTATTTCAGCTTGAGTCCCAAGGCTCTCTAGAGGCAGAATTCCTTCTTCCTTAGGAAACCTTTGTCTTTTTCTCTCAAGGCCTTCAACTGATTGGATGAGGCCCACCCACGCTGTCGAGGACCATCTGCTTTACGCAGTCTATGAATTTACATGTTCATCACATCTAAAAAATACCTTCACGGAAACATCTAGACTGGTGTTTGATCAAACATCCAGCGCCATGTCCTAGCCCAGTTGACACATGAAGTTAACCATCATCTATGACCCTGAGGGTTGGTGGCTCCCTGCCCCAGTCTCTGGACTCTGTTATCCTGAATTAACACATGCAGAACCCTGTTGTGAGTGGCTTTATCAGAATCCCCTCAGATCAGATTGCTGCTTTCTGTGTTACATTGCCTGTTTTTTATTGTCTTGCTGTGAGTACACACTTGGCTACGCATTCATGTTTCTACCTGTCGGAGAAGTGGGGTTTGCAACAGAGCTTCCCGGTTCAGTGGCCTAATTTATGAACCGAGCCCTCTTTATCTCAACTCATTCGTGTTTTTGTGTTTTTCCTACGGCAAAAGCAGGCCTCTGTGGCTTTCCCTTACGTGATGGGCAGCAAGGAACCAAAGTCAACAGGCAAACAACACCTGGGCCCCTGGGCCATCCCAGGTGTTCACGACCCGCACCTAGTTCTGAGGTTCCCAACAGCCAGGGGAGGTTAGCCACGCTCCAGGAAAGCCCACGCTGAGCTGGACTGAGAGTTTCCCAAAGAAAACAGCTTCAGCTCGCCTCAGGCCCCTAGCACTACTCTGTGGCCAGCAACACTCTCTGTGGTCAGCTTTTCACTGCGAGAGAAGCAAGGCCACTTTCCCAGGCAGGAGTTCTTCCTACAGCCTGGGGTGACGGGGAGGCGTGTTTGCATCTGTCCGCCTTAAACTGATGCCTCTGCCTTTCAGACGATGAAGCAGGGGAGAAGCGAGGTTCATTTTTACATTTGAAGAGCTGGGAGGACCCACCCTTTTGGTTACAGATGGGGAGACATGTCCCTCAAAGGGAGGTGACTTGCCAGAGGTCACCCTGCTACACCCACAGGAGCACAACTGGGAAGGAGTCGGGGTGAGGCTCTTTGGAATGCAGGAGGCTGGAGTCACACAGGCCTAAGGGGACCAGCGCCCTGGAGCTCAGATCTCAGAGGCCCAGGACCGGCTTCCTCCTGCTGGCTGTCGAGCCTACAGACACCTCCCTCTGGAAGCCCAGTGAACCATCACTCACTGGCTTCTTCCTCTCTCCCATCAAACAATCCACGACATTAAAAGAGTTGGGTAGATAATCCTTTATGGGGCCACATTTTCAAAGTATCCAGTTTTGTAAATGTCCATGCATATGCAGTGGGTAGAAAATGGTTTAAAGAAAACAAGAAGCTGCTTTGCATGGGGCTTGCATCTGGGGTTCCGTTGGTCCCCTCTCTCATCGTCCTTGGGGGTTCGGGACTGTGCAGTGCAGGTGCCTGAGGACCCCCTGAACCTACAGCTTCAGTCCATCGCCCACCCTCGGGCGCACGCCGGTGAGGGGAGCAGCTCCCATGAGAATCGGAGGAGGCAGAGCAGGCAGCAGCATGGCTGGGAGGGGAGCGCGAGAGTGGGTGCAGGCGTGTCGAAGGGGGAACATAATTAGTCCTTCTGAAAATCTGTTTCTGTTACATAAGGCAATTTAGCATCCTGCTCCCTAGGAAATTTCTTTTGGAGAAAATAGGCCATGCAAATAAAAAGGTATAATTGGGTGATCAGTTGCATTTGGTAACCTGCACTTGGAGGGCACTGAGACTGGCTGCTTGTAAACAAACACGTTTCTTGTGGGCTGTTGACCCTTCCACATGGCCTGACTCAGAGGTTCGTCTCCAGCAGGGAGCAGCTAGTGATGAATTCCTGGCATCCCCTTAGAAATGGGTCGCTATGAAATCACCCATCCTTTTAGGCTGGAGAAGGGCATTCTTGCCGGGGGGGGGGGGGGGGGGGAGTTGGAGGAAACACCAGGGTGCAGGATCCTGGGATTAAGTTCAACAGGGTGGCCCTAGCAGGGTGGCCCAGGATTTCAGTCCTCAGTCCATTTCCCCTTTCTGCTGCCCCTGGAGCTGGCTTTGTGCTTGTTGGCAAATATCCCTTTGTTGATTACAGGCGAGATTTCTGGAGCCAAACTTGGTCTCTTTCTACAGAAAACTCTCATGCCTTGTACACCACCTGGTGCTAATGATCTCTCTCTCTGGGTGGTGATATTGGCCCCAGACATTTTGCATCTGGATTCCTTAGCTTTGGGGAACCCAGGGAGAGTTGGGGAGGAGCTGAGATGAACCCATGAGGCTGCCAGCAGCTCTCTAAGCGTAGGGATCATGGAGTACTGTAAAGGCAGGGGTGCTCATCGCTCTAAAAAATAGTCCTCAAAACAAGGGGACCGCAGTTTTGTCTTTCCTTCTGAATACTGTTGCACAGTGGATCACAGAAGTGCGCTTGATTTCTTTTTTCCTGTTAAGGTGTTAACGGGTAGAACAGGTGATGTTTCTCATAGAAACAGAGGTAGAACGGAGCAAAAGGAGGGGATTCTGCTGGACTTTTCAGACAGGCCCGTGGCATCCCCTTTGATGCTCGGGGCGAGGTGGAGTGACAGCTCACTCTCCTTGGCCTTTGAGAAGGCGGACTGCTGGTGTTTCCCAGAAACGGAGAGGAAAGCGGAGGAGAACCGTGATTGGCCCCAACCAAGACGACCTGGGGCAGCTGGCCCTTCCCTTCTGGGGCATCCTGTTAATGACATGGAGCACACAGTCTCCTCCGTGCCATCCCACATACCGACCTGGAGCCCTAGGACCACATTATGGCATGGTCCCTGCCCCTGGGCAGCCGCTGTCTACCCAGCCTTTCTCTCCGTTGCTGGAATCACCTGGCCCTGCCCCAGGCTTCCAGAAGACAGTGTCAAGTCAAGGGTTAAGAACACCCACTTTCAGGGCTATGAAAATCTGACTTTTCCTCTGGCTCCTGGGTGAATTACTTAACCACTTCAGGCGCTTCCCCTGTCTGTAAGGGGGCTAACAGGATTTGCCTCATCATGGGTCATGACGCAGCGCCTGGTACCCCGAGGGTCCTCAGGAAAGGCTGGTGGGGGCTGTTCCGATGCTGGGGAAGGACTCTATGGGAACTTCGCCTCTCCTTTCTTCCAGCCTCACCCCTCCATTGGGGACAAGCCACCTCAGCCAAGGCTTCGACCCCCAGGGAGCTATTGCCCTCACAGTGATACTCAGTGCTTGGTTCAGCAATCCCACTTTCCCATTTCTTCCCTGCTGTTCTTTTCCATTCAAAACTGGGCATAATGGGGCCCGCCCCATGGTGCAGTGGTTAAGCTCGTTTGCTCTGCTTTGGTGGCCCAGGTTTGCAGGTTCGGATCCCAGGCGTAGACCTACACCACTCATGGCCATGCTGTGGTGGTGACCCACATACAAAATAGAGGAAGATTGGCACAGATGTTAGCTCAGGGTGAATCTTCCTCAGCAAAAAAAAAAAAAAAAAGAAAGAAAGAAAAAACGAAAGAAAGAAACCTGGCCATAATGAACTTCAATCTGTAAAGGCTTTGAAAATCCCCCTTGGAAAGGGCGATAGAAATGCACGGGGATGTTTTCTTGAGAAGATTCTCAACAACATCAATGAAAAATAGATGAGCTCTCTTGAATTGCAAATGCTCTTAAAGTTTAAAAAAATTAAAAATGTGAAAATCTGTCTTTTTTTGCTCACTCGTGGTGAGGTCAGTAAACATAAAACACAGTCTTTAGGGCCAGAAAACAACTTAGTGGCACCACCCTTCCCAGAAGCTTGAACTCAATTAATTTTAATTCAGTTCCGTTTTTTTTTTTTTTTAACATTTCAATAACTATTTATTAAGCTTTCTCTAAGTGCCTGGCTTTATGCCAGAGGCTGTGGGGTTGAAGATATATAGAATAGTCAAATTCACTCCCATCAGAGGGATTATAAGCAAGTTCAATAAAGGCAAGATTTATAGCAAAAACAGCTAAATAGTGCCACTTTTAAGTACATAAGTAAGTGCTCACATGGCCAGAGAGTAGGAAAGAGCCAAAACTCACCCAGGTGGCTCAGGGCTGCATGGGTTTGCTGTCCACCACCTCGGCTTGACCGAACACAAGACCCGATGGTAGGATGCAAGCTGTTATGTTTCCTTTGCCAAGATGCCTTTGCAAAGCCACCACTGTGGGCAGAATCTTAGGGCCCCACTTTAAATGAGATGGCAGATTTCCAGAAGTCCTCATCTGCTCTGCCTTAGTTCATTCAGCTTGTTCTAGAATGGATGACCTCCTAGGCATGACCTTGCCCTTGCTGGAACACCTCAGAACAGCACTGTGCAGGGAGCCGGGGGCAACTGCAGCTTGCGTGTGGTCCAGGGAGAGGAGGTGGGTTCTTCGGAGCATCGCTGGGCCTCTGCGCTGGTTGTTGCGCACACAGCTGAGAGCCGGGTGTTGAAAGGCTGGGGTTTCTCGAATCTACCTGGATAACTCTTCAAAGAGAAATCACCTTGTATGTTCTTTTGTGCATCTGAGTACATATGTTTGCTTCTGATTTGAAGGATAAAAAGCCCAAAGAACAAGAAAAAAGAGGGGATTTTCTTCATCGGCCATTTTCCAAGAAGATGGACAAGAACCTGCCCTCACACAAACAGCCCTCGGCCTCGCTCATCACGCAGATTCAGAACACCAAGGCCCTGCTGAAGGACCGGAAGGCCCCCAAGTCCGGCTTCCCTGACAAAGGTGGGTCAGCTCGGGGCGCTCTCTAGGCCACTCATGTTGAGCCTCGTGGCCCCTGTGTACCCCTCACGGGTGGCTGCGTGTGCTCCTGGGATAGACACGATTATTGTGCCCATGGGAAAGCAGAGTTAACACACCTGAGGCAACTAGGAAGCATCAGGGTCCAGACTGCGTGGTACTGGCCACTTGTGTGGGTGGGATTTGTGAAAGCAGGGATAGGATGCACGGTACCGTGGGCAGAGAGATGGGGTGCATGGTATTATTGAACCAGGGATGGGTGTACAGCATTGCAGGGGCAGAGATGGGGTGTGGGAGTGGTGATCGGGGACACGGTGTGTGCCAGCCTTCAGCAGAATAGAGGACCCTGATGAAGTGATAGCTACAGTCTGGGCTCTGGGCTGGGGGAAGGAGCTCCAACCCCAGTTCTGTGGCTTGTGGCCCAAATTCCTTACCCTCGGAGGATCTTAATTGGTTCCCTTCCTTGTGAAAGGAAACCTACATGCCAGAGCTATAGGGTGGATTAAATGAGATACACAGGTGGGCTTCTCCACCTGGTTCGGAGTCCAGCACATCAGCTAACTGACAAACATGAGTCTCCCTCCTCTGGGACGAGCATCGAGGGATGTGGAAAGGAAGCACCACATGGACTTAACACACACTGAGAAACGGGCATGGGGGTGCAGGGAGCAGGGGCATGTCCTGAGACAGAACCATGGGGTGGAGGACAGGGTCTTATTACTGAAAGGGCATGGGAGAGATGGTGCAGGCCCATCTTCAATCCCTTTGTTTTAAATATGAAGAGACTGAGGGTCAGAGATGACCAGGGCTGTCTGAGTGGTTCCCTGGGGAAGCAGGAAAGCGTTGGGAGATTCCAACAGCAGCAAACAGCACAGGTCTTACCCTAAGAGAGGCCTGGTTCTCACCCCAAGAAGAGCAATTCCATTTGCCTCAGTTTCATTCTCAGGTTTCAGGCAGGCAGGGGTCTCCCCACTTGTCCCTCTTTAGCGGATTCTCCTTTCTGGCTTCTAACCAGCAGCAAATTCAGGCCCTTGATGGTGGTATCCTGTGATCTCCCTACGGAAGTCTAGGCCAGTGCTGCATAATTTGGGATAACTTTGCCAGCCAAGAGGTGCATCCATTCCATGGTGCTTCCCCTGGGAACTTTCCTGGTCCAACTGTCACTGGGTTTGTTTCTTTGCTTTTTTCCTTCATCCTGGGATTTAGGAAATCCCATCCTCAGAGCGTGTTAGCTTAGAAGCAGCCAGGAGGCGGTATGATTGCTAATACGGAGCGCTCACTGTGTGGCAGCCTCTGTTTCAGGCTCCTGACTCCAACCAGTGAGATTATCCTCACCCCATTTCTAGAAATGAGGAAATAGGCACGGAGGGTTGTTCAAAGCCACAGAGCTGGTATGCAGCGGGTCCAGATTTCCAACCGGGCGGCCCGGCTCCAGAGCTTTCTCTCCTGACCAGCATCGCTTGCTGCCTCCTGATAAGGGTGGGATGAAGAGGGGCTGGCGGACGTGCTCCCAGGGCCGGCCGGTGACCATGCCCTTTCTCCGGGGGGGTGATGCAGTGTCCCTGTCTGTGTGCTGGGAGCTGACCCTGAGGTGGAGATCCGCAGGGTGTGTGTGGGTTGCAGGGTGTGTGTGGGTTGCGTCCTCTCAAATCTACACCTGTGGGGAAGGGAAGGAAGCAGGGCTGGGCAGAGGGAGAAGTTGGGCTACCAGTGGGGGCCACACAGCCATCCCGGGGAGGGGAGGGGACGGTCAGGTACAGCCGGGACACCGGAGAGGAGACGTGAGCCGGTAATGAAATTCTACTTCTCTCTGCTGGTGAGTCTCAGGCATCTGTGCCAGCCTGAGCAGGAGACTTATTTAGGGATCTGTGTATTTATTTATGTAAGGTGAAGAGGATTCCCAGTGCCCCTTGGCTGCTCCCGCAATCACTCCCCATGGGCAGCAGCTTGTTCTTGCAGCCGGGCCTCGACGGGGGCCTGTAAAAGGTGATGGTGGAAAAGGGAGCTCAGAGAGCCCGGTCCATGGGAACTTGGCTTTGCTTCCCTCGGCTCCAAATTTGTGGGGGTTTTTCCCTTTCATTTCTGGCACAATCTGCAAACCTGGATTCCAGACTCTGCCAACTTGAGATAGAAACCGTGGGGATTGGCTCGTGGCCTCAAATATATAGATGAAGAGTGCTTCACTGCTGTTCAGAATTGCATGAGGCTCTGGTGGGATTGAGTCATGAGGGAGCCCTAAAAAGGAAAGAAATTCTGGCACACGCTACAACACGGATGAACCTCAAGGGCTATGCCAAGTGACACAAGCCAGTCACAAAAGGACAAAACCGTAGATTCTGCTTATATGAGGTCCCCAGCATAGTCAAATTCACAGACAGAAAGTGGAACGGTGGCTGCCAGGGCCCGGGCGGTGGGGGAATGGGGAGTTGCTGTTGAGTGAGTTCAGAGTTTTAGATTTGTAAGAAGAGTTCTATTTCACAACAATGTGAATGCACTTAACACGACTGATCTGGACACTTAAAAATGGTTAAGATGATAAATTTTCATTACGTATTTTTTAACCACAATTCCAAAAAGAAAAAAATTCATGAGGGAAGTGCTCCTTCCCATTCTCAGGTCCTCAGCAAGCTGGGCTCGGTGTGATTCTAGTTTTGTGGCTGTTCTGTTGAACCACGTACCTTTTTTGTTCCAAAGGCTCTTTGGCAGGGTCCAGAATTTTAAGCCACCAAAAGGAGAGCAGATGTTAAGCTGGTGCCATGAGGCAGATCAGAGCTCAGGAGGCCTCCTGTCACCAGCCTTCAGCCTTCTGTCCACCCCTTTCTAGAAACACCGTCTGGTCCCCTGTGGGGAGAGTCGGATGCTGAGGCCGTTTGCCTCTTGATTCTTTCTGACCTCCCTAGGTAATGCACTGTCTCGGTCCAGCTGGAGGTCAGAGCAAGCGGGAGAAGGGCCACTATTCACGTGGCTGTCTTCATCATTTCGTTTGCTTTCTTGGTATGCAGATTCCTTCGGCTGCCGCAATATTTTCCGAAAAACCTCAGATTCCAATTGTGTGGCTTCCTCTTCCATGGAGTTCATCCCCGTCCCACCTCCCAGGACCCCCAGGATTGTCAAGAAACCGGAGCCCCCTCAGCCGGGGCCTGGGAGCACCGGAATCACCCCCAAGGAAGACCCCCTGTTGCTGGAGATGGTGCGCTCCTTCGAATCCGTCGATCGCGATGACCAAATAGAACTGCTGTCCCCATCCCATCACTACAGGATTCTCGGCTCCCCGGGGGGCGTGGCTCGCGGGCATCCCAGTGAGCGGACGCTCTCCCCGGTTCTGCTGCCCGGGAGCTCGTCGCCTCTGCAAACTCCCTTGCATCCCACCCTGGTCTCCTTTGCTCACGAAGATAAGAACAGCCCCCCCAAAGAGGAAGGCGTGTGTTCCCCACCTCCGGTTCCCAGCAACGGCACCACGCAGCTGCTGGGGAGCCCGAACTGTGTGAAAAGCCGAGGCCGGTTCCCCATGATGGGCATCGGACAGATGTTGAGGAAGCGGCATCAGAGCCTGCAGCCCTCTGCAGACAGGCCCCTGGAGGCCAGCATGCCCCCACTGCAGCCCATGGCCCCTGTGAGCCTCTCTTTCGACCTGGCCGATGGGGTCAAAGGCCAGTGTTAACCTGGGCCCGTGGCAGGATTCTGGGTTTTTCTAAGGGAAGCAATGGAACAGAGCTCCACACATCCGTCAGGGTGTGAAGATTCCGTGGCCTCATCTACTCCTGCCACACAAGGTCCCAACTGTGGAACAGCTGAAATCCACAAACCCAAAGCCTGTACAACACAGTCCTGCGCAGGGACCGCCAGAGATGCTGGAATCCACGAGAAGGGCTGGCTGCGGGTGCAGCCAGTTCCAAGCATTCATGTCATTCTTCCTTCCACCTACTCACCCGCCCTCCGCCCACCTCCCTCGGCTGGGCTTGGGGTAAAAACCATGCATCAGCCTCTGGGCTACCCAGATTACAGACTGTGACACGATCTCTCTTCACTTTGTGCTCTGTGTGTGCCTCTCAGTGGATTGTTCTCTTTTCAGCAGTCGGCCACGGTCACATGGGGACTGACTGAGGCATCACACAGCAGCTCATCTCGGCCATGGTTTCTCTTCCTTTCACAGCAGTGAATCCCCACAGGCCGGCAGGAGCTGGCCATCCAGGGAGGAGGGCCAGGTGCCCAGAACCTCAGAGGAAGGTGGGCTGGAACCTCCGCCACCATCGCTGAAAGGGGAAGCTGGGCAAGGACTGATCCAAACAGTAGGGACCCGAAGGAAAGGAAAAGACCGAAGGGGACACTCAGTTGCCAAGCAAGGTTTTGACAGATTTTTTTTTCTTTATTGGCTAAAACTTGCTAACGGTCGAATTATCTTCTCCAAAGATGATTTCTCTTTATGTGATGTTGTTAAATCGAAGTAACGTAATTTTTAAAAACCTAGATAGAGAGACAAGAAGTGATTTCACCAAACTGATGTTTTCCCGTGAGGCTAAGCGTGAGAGCATAAGAGCTCACCAGGGATGTTTTCAGTGGCTGGTGAACCACGGGAGCCTGCCGGAGGGGCGTGGTCACAGCCGGCCCTGTGCTCTTCCCATTGCATCCACAGAGCCCCGATCCTTCTGGAAGGCGTGGAACATCATTACAGTTGGTTATTTAGAAAGAAGGAAGATGGTTATGGTTGAATTTGCATGGCAAGAAGACACTGTTACCTCTGTGCAATACAGTTTTCAAGCTGCCAAGAGAGTAAGTGAGGTTTAGAGAGCTCAGCTAGTTTGCTGGGACCTGGGAGCAGGCTTGCCTGGCCTGGCAGGAGTCAAGTTCATAACACAACGCATGTCTTCTTGGAGGAAAGCAGTGTTTCTCAAATAGGCTTTTGAATTCGTGTTCTGTTTTCACACCTTTTGTCAAGGATTGAACCAAAGATGCGTCTCCGGTTCTGTGTCCATGCCGTCCATGTGTGCGTGTTTTGTGGACCCCAGTGTTGTCTGACCATGTTGAGCTGGAGCCTGCCGGGGGCTGTCTCCACGTGGGGCCTGGGCCCTGGCACTTGGCAGGGACCACTCGGCCGTGAGCAGAATTGGGGAAGGAAGAAGAATTAGCACAGGTTGGATAGCAGTTAGCTCAGGAGACAAGTTACACCACAGCCTGGCATCTTCAACTGTTGACAAGTGCGGGCGTGACCAGAAACCACTGCTGTGGCCACCCTAGGGCTCGTCCTCTCAGTCCCACTGGTTCCAAAACAGGTCACTGCCCTTGAGGATTGCAAAGCCTGCCTTCACGTCCATTGGCAGCCAGCCCGTGCCGGAGAGTGAAGTGGTTCTTCATCTTTTCTCATTTCCCAGTGGTGATTTCCTTCGGCCCCACACGTCTCCTACTCAGCGAGGAGAGAGCAGGTATTTGGCTGGCCCCAGAAGCCACTGCGGGCGGTGCCCAGTCCTGGCTGACCTTGACAGGACCTGGAGTGTCTGCTTCCCCCTTGATGAGATCGCCCAGCCCTAGGGCTTGTGATGAGGAGGTCAGACTCCCAGCTGTTGTGTTATTCCTTTGTAGGGCTCCAGACTGGGTTCTGGAACTTTCCATTGAAAATAGAGCTTTTTAAGCAGAGAGAAGAAAAGAAGCTTTTCCACACGAGACTCTCTCCATTTGATGTGAACTGTTTGATTTTCGATGGGTGAAGAAACCTTTTTGATGGTTTCGAGCTGCGAGTGTCCCGCTCTGCAGGTTTGCGGGCTGTGTTCCTGTGCCTTGTGAACTGCCTCTAGTCCTTGATGTCTTTTTCTTGTATCTTACCTTCCTTGACAACGTGAGTGTTTCTGTGTCGCTGTTAGATGGTCGGAACCTGTTTCCCGTTCCTCGCTTGCTTCAAGAACAGCTGCAGACTATCATCCAGCTAACTGACCGTGTCGCCGTTGGTAACTTGAACTGTGACCTCAGGTTTATTCCGAACCCAGTGAGAGGTGAGGGGGAGTGGGGAAGAGGGGTGAGCTGTATTTTTGTGTGTGTGAGCACCTGACAAATCTATGAAATCGAGTGAAAGAAGAAATGTTAAATTCTTTATTATTTTATTATATTTATATGGAAAACTTGAGTATTCTTTGGTAAGTACAAAGCGTGTTAGCTCTTTGACCCATGACTGTCTCTCATTAGTCTGAGCCTGTGTTCTCAGTCAGCCTGTAGTTACCCATGGAAATGACTGAACTCTTATTGTGTGAAGTCTAGAAGGAAGTCAAATTTAATTGTGCGGTTTGGTCATAAGTAAGGACTGTATTTATGTCACCATTATTAAATATATGTACTTTTATAATGACTGTGAAATATACTTTTCCCTCACTATGACTGCTTCCTTTCTATGCTGATAAATCCTAAAGCCTTGAGCGTGTTGCAAATAGTCGTAACCATTGTCTATGTAAAGTTCTTGGCCCAGCAACTGACCGGATACAAGGGGGAATCCAGCTGTGGGGCATTCGAGGGCATTTTCTGCTTCAGGATCGCTGCTTCATTTCACTTGCAACAGGTCTGCCTACAAAAGTCTTTTTGACTGACATACGGCGGTTCAAGACGAATCAGCACTTTTCTTTTTTGGGGGAATTTGGATTTCCCATGGAGACTCTGAAAATGGTGCGTGAAGAATGACATCTGTAAACACTCCCTCTAGATTTTGTCCTTGCTTTAGGCCTTGGTGAGGGATGCGGAAGAGGGGTGATGGGCTGCTTGGAAGAGGGTGTCTAGATTGGCTGTTTAGATCGTCCCAGTTCCCATTTCATTCCTAAGTGTTCACATAAAGGTTATCACATATACCACCTTGCCTAACCCCTTGTGTCCCCTGTACTCTGTGGCTCAGAGGGTGGCAGGGTAGAAAGTGGAGAGACTCATTGTTTCATGATCTGAAGTTCTCTCTGAAGTTTGATGGGGTCGGGGTGGGGGTAAGAACGAGTATCTAGTTTTGATGATGATATTTTCTTTTAGGAATCACAACATTTTAGAACAATAAGACACCTGAGATAGCCTGGTTCACCCCCAGACTTTTTGAAAAAGAGAATGCTGGGGCCCCAGATGGTTTGAGCGCACTCCCCCATGTTCTTGAGTGAGAGCGGGTCTGGGTGGAGGGCTCCTCCTTCAAAGGACAGGGAGAAATCAGAGTGTGGCCGCCGTGGACAGAGGGGAAGGTCAACAGCGATCAAGCTGTCATAGCAGGTATCTGAGGTCCATCCATGGACCAGATCGTTCAGTCATTTTCAAAATTGTGCAGCTTCTTGCAATTCTGAGCATCATGCTGTTCCCGCCATCCACCATCCACTCTCAGAGCTGGAGAAAGACTTGCTCAACAGATCTCCCAAGTAAGCAGCAACCCCTGGTTAGCCTTGTTATCTACTTTAGCTATCAAAAGGCTTTGGGTTTTACTAGATTAAATCAATAAAACATTTTCTATATAGCCATGTCATAAAGGGAGACAAATTCAGAAAGAATGCAAGACTGATGTTTTTAGGGGGTCTGGAAGCCTCTTGGTTATTGCATTTGTTTTTTTTTTTGTGCAACCCTCCATGTGTTACGGGCACAGTAAGAATAATTCAAAGCAGCCCTGGGAGCTGGTTCAATTTAATGTCATCACTTTTCAATGAAAGGAGCGTATTTCCTGAGTAGTAAATGAGTGTATTATTTGTGGCAGCTTTTTTGTCAAGGGAGCTTTTCAGACATCTGGTTCCAAAGACAATTGGGGTAGATATATTTGTACTTCTTTTCTGGGGCCCTGTTTCCAAGACACACAGTTATCTCTGAGATCTGATGTCTGTGGCACCAAGGGCCTTGGGGTGGGGGAAGGGTGTGGAGCGTTTCACCCTTCGCAGTCGTCTTTTTCAGGGCTATCCACATGTGAGCTGGTGTGCAGATAAGGAAGCATTTTGGGGAAGCAGCTCTGGGAGGGTAGGGTAGCTTGGTGTGGAGCAAACTCAGGGATCAGCGGGAGCCAGGCGGTGTAAAAGTTAACAAAGGCACGTTACAGAGAGGATGAGGCTAGGAAGCTGCATTATTTACAGGTGAAAAGAATAAATGGCTCTGACTTCAGGTCCGGAGCTGGTTACACAACATAGTCTCTGCTCAGAAGATGGCCCATAAACTCTTTTGAGGGAAAGGCTTTGGCTTATGTTAGAAACCCTCAAAATAGCAACAATGTATTCTTTCTAGGCCTTGTTAGCACAGCCAGCTGGAAAAGGGAAGGTTACAAGCCCATGTCAGGAGCAAGGCTTCTCCTCCAAAGCTAGGCAGTGACTTCATGGCAGGTCTGAGACAAGAATGCCTTCTCATGACCCCTTCATCTGTGTCCATCTCTTCTCTGGCAACCGGTGTGGCAGAAAGATTGAGCTTTGCATGATAACAAATTATACCCAAAAGTCTCTGTGACTTGCCCGATCAAGGTTTATTTCTTCGACACATCTCTACGCCACCTGGCCGGTTCCAGAGCTGCCATGTTCCAGGTGGTGACTCAGGAATCCGGGCTGCTTCCAGCGTGCGGCTCCATCCGCTCAAAATGACGTTTCTCTGGCTGCTGCGGCAGAGGAAGGGCGAGCTGGAGAGTTTTCCACTGGCCCTTGAGTGCTCTGTGAGGGCCTGTAACTAGTCGTGCCTCTGAGCCAGAGGCTGGGAAATGTGGGGGAGTGTACAGATATTTGGGGTGCAGTTAATGTTTCCGACACAGGGAAGATACAGATGCCTACTCCTTCAAGGTCCCCTAAAATTGGACTGATCTTGGCCCTTATTAGGCAATTATAGCACCTCTTAGTGTGTACGGATTATTCTAAATCAAGGGGTAAGCTTTGTTAATTATTAATATTTCATTTAATTTAAGGGGGTGTTATGGGCTGGATTGTGTCCCCTGAAAATTCTTATTAAAGCCCTAACCCTTGGCACCTCAGAATATGGCTGTATTAGGGCCTTTAAAGAGGTAAGTTAGATTAAGGCCTCTGTTAGAATGGGCCTTACTCCCATCTGACCGGCGTCCTTATAAGAAGAGGAAATTTGGACACACAGAGGCAAGATCGTGTTGAGGACACAATGAGAAGGCAGCCCTCTGCAAGCCAAGGAGAGAGGCCTCAGGAGAAACCAGACCTGCCGACACCTTGATCTTGGACTTCCAGCCTTAGAACTGTGAGAAGTAAATTTCAGTTGTTTAAGCCCCGAGTCTGTGGTATTTATTACAGCAGCCTGAGCAGATTAACACAGGGAGGGGAGGCCAAATAGAAATACCTACATATTCTACAAATCTTACAAATTTTGTCCCATATGTTGAATCCCATTTATCCTTTTCTTACAACTAAATTACTCCCAGAACGTTCTTTTGTTGGAGTAAAGTTCCACCCTTTCTAAGCGTCTCCTGTGTGCCAAGCTCCGGGCCAGTTATTTTCAAGTGTGTTTCTGCCTTCAATCGAGAGATCCGGAAACTTCTTTCAGTAAAGGGCCAGATAGTAAATATTTACACTGAGCAGACTACCATGCAGTCTTTCCTCTTTGTCTTTTCAGTTTTTCTTTTCACAACCCTTTAAAAAGGTGAAAACCATTCTTCTCTGGTGGGCCTGCACAAACAGGCCACAGCGGACTTTGGCCCTCGGGCTGCAGTCTGCTGACTCCTGCTTCGATCCTCACAAGAACCCTGCGACGTGCTCACAGCAGTGCTCACATCGTCTCTACTTCACAGGTAAGTTTAGGCGGCTTGCCCAGTTCACGCTCTACCAACGTTCCTTTTAGGAATTCATCACCTGAAAAAAAAGGGAAAGAGCTCCTTTTGTGATATCTGGGCTCATAGTCTCCCAGAAATGATCTGTTAATAGTAATGAACTGGGTAACAGTCCAGCAAAAAGAGTGAACCTAAGGGAATTTGGAGACCGTGGCCTTCTCTTTGCCATTCCCTGCTGCATGGCTTCTGTGGGTTTCCCCAGTTGGTGACTGTCCACCGTCATGGTGATGCTCCAGGAGGGTCTGACGCTGCCATTTTGTCCCCACTCTTGGATTCATCCCTGCCGTCATCTGCGCCGAGCAGAGCATGTCACGGCACTCCAGTCGTTTTCCATGCATGCCGTTTCCCATTTCTCTTTGTGAATGGCCTCACAAAAATGGGCTCTCACTTGCTTCTAAAAAGAGAGAGCTTACTCAAAGTCTTAGGGAACAAGTCTAAATCTGGAGCAGATGTGAAGCTGAATGATGCCTTGCAGACGATTCATCACCGTTACTCACACCTGAATGACGCCATGTCACCACGGGTTGGACAGGCGTCCCCTCCACTGAAAGAGGAATCGTGCCGTCTGAGTCAGAGAGCCTTGAAGAGCTCATTCAGAGTCCTTCCCACCCACGGCCACTTCAATTACGTGAGCCATTCTCACTTTCAGAGCATTCGGGCCCAAGTCACAGAATCACAGCGACCTTAGGGGTCACTCAGCCCTGGGCTCTGTCCCCCAGGAGTTTGAGGCAGTCCACAAAGAGGACCAAGAAGTGTGGATCCTCAAGATAAGCAGGGAGTACCTTCTTGGAGCAGAGTTTTTATAACTCACTGCTATTTAAAAGAAGTTTTTTTTACTTGAAACTAAAATGTGTCATGTATTCAGATACAAACTCAGTGTTAATCTTGTGAGCCCAACTCTCATTGTCCTCTTTGCTTTGGACATTTCAGAGAATAATTTTAAGAGGCAGAGGTCAAGGTCAACTTCCCTCATTTACAGATGATGCATTCGAGGCCTGAATGGAGAAATAATGCATCAAAGAACTCACAACTTGTCAGTGGCAACATCCGCCTCCATGGTCAATTCTCTTCCCACTACCCCGGGTGAAGAGCCCAGAGTTAACGGCTGGCCTGGAGGTGGTTAGGGGTGTCACGATGTCTGGGGTCCACTCAATCCACTTTGCAAATTTTGGGCCACAGAGAGAATGCACACGGTGATGACCATAATAGAAAGAAGGAAATTGATTTGTGAGGAGCGTTTGAAGGAAGACAGTACGTAAGTGCTCTCTTCACCTTCCCAAGCTTGATTTGTCTTGCCCTCCTCTGAGTACTCCTAGGTATGTATGTTGTAGCACTGAGCACACTGCGTGATAATTGTTAACACATTGCTGTGTCTTCCAGGGCTCTGAGATGCCGTCTTACTCATCTTTGTGTCTACACCCAGTGATGTAAACACATGGATGGATGGATGAATGGTTGGGTGAATGATGAATGGGTGGATGGATGGATGGGTGGGTGGGTAAATGAATGGGTAGATGAAGAGATGGATGGATGGATGGAGGGATGGGTGGATGGATGGATGGGTAGATGAATGGGTGCGTGAAGGATGGATGGATGGATGGATGGG